TTCTCTTTCGTGCCATTAAAAACCTTTCTTGTAAACATCCACTTTTGATAGAAATTATTGAATTGTATAATGATCTTGCTACTGGCCAATGCGACATCGTCTTTTGTTGGTTACCCAGCCATGTTGGCATTTCTGGGAACACAATGGCCGATCTTGCTGCCAAGGCAGCACTCAACAAATCTGTGACACCACTTCTTATTCCATACTCTGATTTCAAAACTGGCATTAGAACCTACATCCATGATCTGATGCAGAAGAAGTGGGACACCCAAGTTGGTATCAATAAATTACATGCAATAAAACCTTATATTGGTTACGCCTACTTGGGTTGTCAGTCCAGATTTGAAGAGGTCATCATGCGACGATGTCGTATTGGCCACACAAGATATACTCATGAATACCTATTGAAAGGTGAGGATCCTCCGTTTTGCATTCTTTGTAATAAAAAAATCACTTTCAAGCATGTCTTGCTTGACTGTGTTGAATATTCCATCACAAGGGATAATTATTTTAAATCACGAACTATGAAGGATCTTTTTAATAGTATCACTTCTCATTTGTTAAATGATTTGTAAATAGATAAATATTTTATGTTGGACGTTTGAATTAGTAACTAAGATTGTTAGTGGCTGTATCCTCGAGGGGGTTAAAGTACTGTAAAATTATTGTCCTCCTGAGAGGGTACGTAAGTCCCAAAACATTCAATGTAAATTAAACTTTCCATTTTTAATCGTAGAATATGTGTAATTTTAATGCATGGCTAGATGTATCTAAATTGCTGACAGCTGAAGAGATGATGTAAATCCAGCTAGGGCACATGCAGGAAGCAGATGTACTGTAAGTCCCAATGGTCCCTAGTATGATGATCTACCTTCAGTTGTTGGCAATCTATAGCCTGGTTTTATATTGTATTGTCGTGTATAGTTCAATGTTTTAGATTTGGTTACTAGTTTTATATTTCTACCTGTGATAATCTAGTTGTTTTACTGTCCTTCGTTGACAGGTTTTTATAATTTACCTTCAATATATATTAATCTATAACTTGTTTTAGTCACGATAGGGCTGAAATATTGCCAAAGTGACTTTAAATGTTAACTCACTCACTCATCACTGTAGCATATACATCTCAATCAGTTTCGATCTTCAAAAGACGATATCGACCACAGGCATCGCCTGTCGACTCAAATTAATGAGATACTTCGATTTGTGGTTGTTAAATTGTGATCAGGGTTCTATGTCGGTTATTCTCCATAGTTTTAATTACTGAGGTGATTAATCTTAGATAGTGCAGTTATGTTGAGACCGACTGTGAATAACAGCGTTTACAACCCTGACAGGCGCAGTGATGACTTAACATCACTTAGTTCTCACATCACCTGACCGGACTCTGCCTTGCTTGAACATAAATGCGCTTATTCTAACATTAAAACAGAATGCAAGCCTTTTGAAATGCTGGATATACTGTTTTGTATAATGATGTAGAAAGAAACTACAACAGTGAGTGAGTACGGTTTTACGTTTCTAGGAATACAAGGCTTGACACATTCTGCCCATGTGGGAATCGATCCCGGGCCTTCAGCGTGACGAGCGGACGCTTTAACCCTGACCAACTCGTGAAGGTCCGGGTTAGAATATTGATCTTCAGTAACCCATGCTTGTCGTACGAGGCGACTAACGGTATCGGGTGGTCAGGCTCGCTGACTAGGTTGACAAATGTCATCGGCTCCCAATAGAGCAGATCGATGCTCATGCTGTTGATCACTGGATTGTCTGGTCCAGACTGGATTATTTACAGACCGCCGCCATATAGCTTGAATATTGCTGAGTGCGGCGTAAAACTAAACTCATTCGCTCACTTTAACCACCACCACGACAATAACCTGCATCACAGTACCTTCACGGGTTTACTTATATATCTACTGTTACGTTAAGGCCAGGTTAAGGCTGGGTAAATTTACTTTCACCTAACACATGTATATATGTAACAGATTTATTCTTCACGAATCAAACCATATTTATCTAAATATCCTAAGCAGCAAAATAAACGTCAGTTTGGAATTTTCCTTCGCAGAAACGGATAACTGTAAACTCATTTAATGTTTTGATTTTATATTTTTGACAACATCTCCAACTTTACCTGGGCAAAGACATTCCTTCCCAAATGGAACCCAGGAAATGGTCTCAAAAACGCAACCTGATCTCGGAGATGGTACGGTGTTCTCCATGTTTTTCATGCAACTCGTGCTGCACGTGCTGTTCACAAGGACCAGCACTATAAAATGCACCCCCCAAACCTGGTTGAAACATTCACATTAAAACGTCAGCAGGATGCCCCTTCTCACGACAGCTCAGAGGAACCAGGAGCTATGAAGACTTGAAGCTGGCCACAAAGCACAAGCCGTTGCCAATCACTTCTAGGTCAACGTTCGGACCATCTACAGGCTGCAGCAACGTTTCCGGGCCACCAACACCACAAATGATCGCCCCCGCACTGGCAGACCAAGGGTGACCACAAGACGACAAGACCGCCATGTTGTGCGACAGCATGTACAGAATCCCTTAATGCAGGCATCCGAAACAGCATGCCAGACAGTGGGAACACACGGAAGACCAATCAGTACTGATACACTACGCCGACGTCTTAACAGCGGGAACCTCCATTGCCGTAGACCTTACCGTGGACCTATCCTCACCCCTCGTCATCGGCGTGAACGTCTACAGTTTGCCCTACAACGCCAAAACTGGCGATACAGGCAATGGAGAACTGTTCTGTTCACAGGTGAGAGTCGGTACTGCGTATCAACTGCAGATGGCAGAATAACAACATGGCGACGACGTGGCCAGCGTCACTCAGACCAATGTGTTATAGAAAGAATCTCATGGGGAGGTGCAAGGATCATGGTATGGGGTTGAATAGGCCTGAACCTGAGAGTGGGTCCGGTGTAGTTCCAGAATCTTGGTCCAGGGAGAGGAGGCGGCATCACAGCGGTGCACTACATTGACCAATCGCTCAGACCCCACGTCATACCGGAACAACATTTTCCAGCATGATAACGCCCGGGCCCATACTGCTTCACGGGACTTCCTACAGCAGAACGGTGTCAACATTATCCGGTGGCCAGCCCTTAGTCCTGATTTAAACCCAGTTGATATCATCTTTGGGATGAAATTCAGAGGAGACTGAATAATGTCATACAAAGGCCGAACACAGCCGATTTATTGCGCCAGGCCTTTCTCAGAGTGTGGTTCAAGGTGCCAATGGCCTTCATCAATCGATTGGTGCACTCCATGCATAGACGCTGTGCTGCAGTTATTGCCGGTCGTGGTGGTCACACTAGATACTGAAGTCAAGAGTCTGAATGGACTGCAAACGTTCACGTAATATCTTGGAATTGAGCTGAGTTATTCATTGATGTGTCAAGATATTGTACGCAAAAAATGTTTTTGATCCGCTTATTGAGTCCATTTCTGTAATGATTTGATTACAGTACCTATCTAATTTTGAATTCGTACTGGCGAATTTTTTTGCTATTGAGTATATATATACACAACGAACTTAGTTAAGCACTCCCTGACATATCTCACGATTGAATGAGCCCCGATGTTAACCCTTTGAAGCGTATCTTGGACATGATTGGTCGTCGTGTGCAACAAAAGGATCCTCCTATACAGAGCCTGGCTCAATTGGAAGCTGCTTACACTCGGCATTCACCTTGAATCGTGTAAGACACGCAAAATGACATTTTGAATGTTCAAATTCACCAATAAATTCAACATTAAACATTCAAGGGCCATACTTGTACAGACATGGTTTTGTATGAAAATCAGTGTCTTTTTAAAATGCGCAATTATTATCATAAAATCAAAATGGATTCCAATAATTTTGTTGATTTTTATGAGTCAAGGGATCGACGGGTCAGAAAAACTCATATTTTTCCATCGTGGTCACCACTAGAAGTTTTATGTACGTGTTGAAAACCTATCATTGCAAAACTACAGGGGGTGCTTAATTAAGTTCCTTGTGTATATTTCCACATAAAAGTGACCAGTTTGTATAAATCACACAAAGTATTTACCGAAAGAGGAACAAGCGAGTGACTTATCATTTAATGTTACATCGGCAATATATCAGCCTTAGTTATTAATAAAGACCAACTTAAATACAATAAATACCTGTCGGTGAAAGATAGTAAAAACAATGCCAGTGAATCTGCATCAGACACATTTAGCCAATTTTTGTCCGACGACGTTGGTTTTGGATCATTGGTTTGTCTGGTCCGGAAGAGAATATGTACAGGCTGCCGTAATCTGGCAGAAATATTTACAACGAGCTCAGATAGGGCACATTGTATGGTTTCCGATAATTGTCGTAAGAGCCGGATCTGACCCGGTAAAGGTCGATTGGGTGGTCATTCTCGCTGACTTGGATGGCATGCCATCGTATCCCAGTTTCGTAGAGCGAAACTCATGATGTATCAATGGATTATCTGGTCCAGACTGCATCTGCTTACAGACCGCCAAAATATAACAAGGGGACTACAATGGCTGTAATAGTGTTGAATGCGACTTAAAAAATAAACAAACAAACAAATCGAAATGGTAGGATAGACGCCAATCACTGGATCTTCTGGTCGAGATCGTTTATCAAATAAACAAACAAAAATCAGTAAGAATTCTTTGCGGAGATTCCATGAGATACAAAGCGTCAATGCCAGTCAGTAACCAGTCTTGATTATTTACGTCATTTGGCGTAAACTGCGAATGAAAGGGACATAAAAATTGTGAGGCACCATAAATGTAAGCATGTCCTACGCCAAAGGTAGAACCCACCCTTAACATAATTTGTGCATAAAAACCAAGTGTTAATTGACAGTTTCCCAACAGCAGTAGTCCCGCTATGCGACTGCGGCCTGGAAACAAACCACACAATCAAGTGATCGAGGAACTGAACAAGGAAATCGAGGATTTAAATCGACAGTCAAACATGGCCTTATTCTTACCTTCGGCCACCGCGATTTTTCGGAGTACGCGAAGAGGGGATCCTCCACCAGCAAGGTTTTTCTCTCCATCTTTGCATTTTGAAAGTTCAGGTAACATTTCTTTTCTTCAAGATGGAAGTTAATAGACTTACAGAGCCGCATAGATTTACACATTCCTGCGCAGGAGTAAAGTGATGAACGTTTCACAGAATGGAACGCCGATAATGTCAAGACATATCCGTAATCGAATTCCTCAACAAGCTTGCACAGTTCCGAAGCCAAAAGGACACAAACGTGCAGATAAAAAGCAAGGAGGTACCACAAGGCTGTATACACATACCCCCTCATATTCTGATGTGATATCAAATGTCTGGTTTACGATTAATAACAAAGTTTATAATCGTGCCTGTCCACAACAGCGAAAAGAGACTTTACCTTGTGGAAACGTATGTTTGATTAATGGCGTCCCTGTCAACGTTTCTTAACAGATCAACAGTTTAATATTTCATGGGACAATCAGATACATAATGTACGTCAAATGTTTACTGGATGCTACAGAACATTTGAATCAGGAAACATCAATAGATTACTGAAGTGTTTTGTTACCAGTTACCGATAATCGATAGTACCTAAAGTCCTATTGTAACGTGCGGATTCCCAGGTTAAAAGAAAACCAGGTATCTGAAAGAATCGGGAAATCGACCAACAACAAAAAATTGAATTGTGCTTGTGTTGTGTGGTCCTGTGGGTAGTGTTCTGATTACAAATCAGTTGAAGATAAGCAACGCTGGGCGCGGAGTGTCTTTGGATGGGTGGCCGTGTTTGGCAGCTTGACTTCAGACCATGTTGTCTCAACCTGTTATCAGAAATGGGCGGGCCACTGTAACTTGATATTGCCCGCAAAATGCTTGACGACGGGCCATTATCAAGCCCGTTGTTAGGTGACGTCATAAATAGCTCAGCTGTTGATGTTTAATCACCTACTGCTCGTTTGAACTTTGGTTCATTACTGACGAAATTTCTGACTCACATTCGTCACATATACCTGTGCCTTTATGCACTTTCTTGCCGGTGTCAACCATAACTATTGTACCATAAATTACAACATACAGCAATGAAAACATCAACTGAAACTCTAACGTTGTTGAGCACTGAAGGAAATGGCGGCTGGTAGTATGGGCAAAGGTCAAGATCGAATGTCGTCACTCTCAATAGTGACGTCACCTGTTTTGTTCTGTGACGTTTCCCTATTTGTAAAAGGTGTGTCAGTGACCTCCGTCGTTTGTTGTTGGCAATAAATGTTTCAAAACCGATGCCTTGGTTTTATTCTTATGTTGTTAGAAATTCTATCCATTTTAGCTATAATAACGGTAGGGGTGGTGGGGTAGCCTAGTGGTTAAAGCGTTGGCTCGTCACGCCGAAGACCCGGGTTCGAATGCCCACATGGGTACATTGTGTGAAGCCCATTTCTGGTGTCCCCCGCCGTGATGTTGCTGGAATATTGCTAAAAGCGGCGTAAAACCAAACTCAGTCAGTATAATAACGGTAACGCTATTTTTCAGGGCATTATCATTTGCAGAAGTCCTCGGTCTTTTCAGAAGTCAGAAGTCGGCAGAAGTCCTTCAGTTGATGAAAGATCTCGGGCTTCTGCAAATGATAATGCCCTGACTAATAGCGTTACGTATACCCTTATATTAATAGATCGATGTTCATGCTGTTGATCTGATCCAGACTCATCTGATCATTTACCGCCAAATGACGGTAAAAAACTTCAGTGGCAGTACAATTTCAATGGCAGTACCAACTGAATTTCTTCTAGTAGATAAAGATTCGCTTTATAGATAAAACAATTGGACTGTGACGCAATGCATTAAGTTGTTCACTCACTTTGGTAATACTATTGTGAACTAAGAGACGCTTAATAAATTGCCGTGACAAAAGGTTTAAAAGTCCCCGTTAAACCAAAAAAATAGAACACAGACAAGTCTAAAATATTCAATAATATATTGAGCAAACAATGAACAAACTACAATGAAAGACAATACAGATATCTAGTACAATGCAATTGAGTCACAAATCTAAAATATTGGGTCACAAATCTAAAATATTATTACCCATACGGGCTAGGATACACAGGTGATTATTTTTGTGATAATTGCAGATGTGCTTTTCAGTGATTCTCAACGTTGATTGGTCAGCTAAGCAGAGAAGAAATATGATTGGTTGACGGAATTACTTTTCATGATCCAAGTTCATTGACAACTTTTACGTTTCATTGATAATTAGAACGTGCTGTACTCACACATTCCGAGATTTAAAAAAGAGAACATAAAGGTCAAAGAATATGAATACTCTTATTATTAGACAATATTATTTTGCAATAAACTTATAAACAGTAGCGTTATAAACAGTAGTCTTTTTAAAATAAATAACCTTAAAAAAACACAAACACAAAAACACAAAAAACAATCGTATGCATTGTATGTAACAAACATGGCCGCCATTACGCTAACCCCGATCAAGGCCAATGATCTGGCCGTGACAAAATGTTGAGTTACGCGTGGATAAAGGCGTGGAAGTATTTAGAACGGTATTTAGAACTTTCATTGTAAATTGATCATAAGAACTAATATGACTGATGCAGCTTCGCTGCATGTAAGCATTTCTACATTTTCAAGTATATGTGGGTTCGAACTTTCCACATTTTTTCTTATCATTCCTCCTAGCCATTTTAAATTTTCCCCACATTAAGCTGACATGCCTAAAACAACTAATATGTTGTTCGGAGCGGCTTAACATTTAACTCCCTCGTGCGCTTATAACTCTTAGAAGTTGGGTTATTGCCCGCATTTAGAACAAATCTGCTGATGTACAGTTTAACTTACAGGTGTCATTTGAGACCTGTTTGTGTCTCTCACTAAAGGGGAGAGTAGTTACGAAGTGACCGCAACTATACTCTTAAAAATGTAAGGGAACTGCATTTTTGATTTACGATTGAAATAAACTGGGACATTTATCGATATGATAATAATAAATGTTTTGAGAGTGAATCACCACTTGCACTTCCTCATGAGCATAGTTGTTTCTTCAGTAATCGCTCGTGAAAGATGATTGGTGTATGATGTGAAATGTGGACGATTTTCATTTTTTTAAAACAAACGACTGGAAACACACACTAACAGCTGTATACAGTGATTTATCGACCATCTTGAAAACCCTCAAAATCCAGAATGACACCCCGTGCATGTGTGGGGCTACTACTGCGTTGTGCACGTGCATCCCATGAGTTGTGTTTAGGAGTAGTGATAAAGACTAAAAAACGGTGGTACGTTCATAAGATGTTTGTCTTTGAAATGTTTGTTAACGCTTATACTTCCTATCCAAACTGAAAGTTCAGGTTCCCCTACTTTTTGAAGAGTATAAAAAGGAATAATAAGTATTGAAAACCGGAACTTGGAGCAGAAGTATTACAAACTTATTCTAAATTGATCGCGAGAACTAATATGATTCCTGCAACTTGGCAACATGTAAAGATTTTCAAATATTTATTTGTTCGAATCAGATATTCCACCTGCTTACGATCTTTGAAAAACCATGAAAAAACCCATGAAAAAGCATGGTTGCTTACTCTCCAAAGTCTTCATCACTTCGCTCCGTATTAAGCTAACACAACAGTAACAGACGAACAGAGTGTTCAGTGGAACATAACACACAACTAATTAAAGCATTCAAAACATTTGAGATGATTCATCGCATACTAAAAGATTTGTGATTCTGTGCTTAGCGTCAGACACAAATTACTTCCATAGTATATTCAAACCTATGCATCAATATTGTCTTGTTGCTATTGGCTACTATATATGTGACGCCAGTGCAAGAAGTGCATCAACTCTCTGCCGGAAATGCTTCATATCCGCCTTTTAAACCTTTCACGCATGCGTATATCCCAGGTCCGGGGCGAAAATCAACATAATGCAAATCGTCAGAATCCGGTCTGAAATTACCATAGGAACAATAAGGAGATTTCTTAAACTGGACAAAATCACATGGTGGGGCTTGGTGGTTGTAGTAGTGGTCTTTGGACATCCACAGTTTCTCTTGGTCAAGATAGTCGTACCACCCTAGTAACTCAGGATGTGCCCAGTGGTATCTGCCTGAAGTTTGGTCAAGATGGACATACCACCCGAGAGACTCGGGATATGCCCTGTAGTATCTGCCTGAATGTTGGTCAATGCAGTTATACCATTCTGGTGATTCAGGATATTCCGACTGGTATTTACATGGATAAGCATTCACATGGATGCTCTGATACAAAGGTGAATGTGTCTCTTCAGAGAAAATGTTATTTCTATAGCTTCCAGCTGAATTCGAGTGGCGTTCATTGTCTTCAAGACGGCCACCCAAACCGGAGTGCTCATAGACATAGCATCTTGGCCAGTGAGCACCTTCATGAGTTTCAAACTCCTCAAACTTACTGTACGCCATGGGCGTGTCCAGAACGGGGTATGATTCTCTGAGGCTCTGCACTTGTCGTATAATGCGACCAGTTGTGGTCACTTGAAATGGAAACTCAGCACCTTCTACATGATCTGTAACTTGCTGAGACTGATGTGGCCAAGAGTTTTCAGGACGACCAGACCTTCTGTGACTGACATCATCGGCAGCAACAGCAGCAGGAACAACAGCAACAGCCGGATTGTTGTTTGCAGCAGCAGCAGCACGACAATCATCATTCAAAGGATACAGCTGCATGATAGATGAACGTTTTAGCTCCTGTGCCTCATCCATGTCCATTGCATCTGTCGGAAAGTCTGAACAACTCCTGGATGCCATTAGCACTTTATTTTCCATGACTTTACACCCAGTAACGGTCTTAAACGCAATTGATTGAGTCATCCTCAGAAGGAATGTGGACTAATATCCTGAAAACGAGGAAATAGAAAATCAGTACTGTTTGAATCAGGGCAAAAGTCAATGCCTTATAGGGTAAATATCAATTATATAGAAAAAAAGTCGCATGATGGACGTAAGAGCTCACTGAATTTATCGGGTGGTCACGCTTGGTGTCTTGGTTGATTGCTCGTCATGTTATCACAAGGCGTATGAGAGAGACGTTTTACATAATCGATTTTGTCCATTGATAAAGCTCTGACGATAGTCGTTACGGATGGGAAACTAAGATATAAGTATGTCTTGGTAATAAAGGGGGATCTTTAATTATTTGTTGACTTGTAATTAAAATAATCTATTTGCATTACAGGACAAAAGACACTCCTCGATGAATAAAACGATTGCCTACACACCGTGAATCCACGCCTAGAATCAGAAGTAACTGTCCAAACACCGCATTAAGCTGCAGCAGCTGTGTTCCCTGGGGCGTTCCTTGTTTACATACTGATCTGAATCTCTAGACTTTCATTCCTCATTATTTCTAAG